TTGCAACTCTCCTTCTGGAAGGTAGGTTATCACATTGTTATTTATGGAAGAAACACTAATGAGATGCTAGGTCAACAGATGATACAGATATGTGGTACCTTTGCTTCAGTTCATTTCAGTTCAGTTGCTCAGTTGTGTCCAATTCTTTGTGACCCCATGGACTGCAGCACGCCAGGCTTACCTGTCCATCACCAGCTCCCAGAGCCTACTGAAACTCATGTCCATCACGTCAGTGATGCCATCCAACCATCTCATCCTCTGTTGTCCCCATCTCTTCCCATCTTCAGTCTTTCCCAGCATCAGGGTCTTTTCAAATGAGTCAGTTCTTCACATCAGGTGGCCAAAGTCTTGGAGCTTCAGCATTAATCCTTCCAATGAATATTCAGGACTGATATCCTTTAGGATTGACTGGTTTGATCTCCTTGTAGTCTAGGGGACTCTCAAGAGCCTCCTCCAGCACCACAGTTCAAAAGCATCAATTCTTCAGCGTTCAACTTTCTTTATGGTCTAACTCTCACTTCCATACATGACTACTGGAAAAAGCAGAGCTTTGACTAGATGGACCTTTGTCGGCAAAGTAATGTCTCTGCTTTTTTTATGCTATCTAGGTTGGTCATAGCTTTTCTTCCAAGGAGCAAGTGTTTTTTAATTTCATGGCTGCAGTCACTATCTGCAGTGATTTTGGAGCCCAAGAAAATAAATTCTATCACTGTTTCCCCATTTATTTGCCATGAAGTGATGGGACCAGATGCCATGATCTTAGTTTTTTGAATGCTGAGTTTTAAGCCAGCTTTTTCACTCTCCTCTTTCACTTTCATCAAGAGGCTCTTTAGTTCCTCTTTGCTTTCTGCCATAAGGGTGGTGTCATCTGCATATCTGAGGCTATTGATATTTCTCCCGTCAATCTTGATTCCAGCTTGTGCTTCATCCAGCCCAGCATTTTGCACGATGTACTCTGCATGTAAGTTAAATAAGCAGGGTGACAATATACAGCCTTGACGTACTCCTTTCCCAATTTTGAACCAGTCCGTTGTTCCATGTCAGGTTCTAACTGTTGCTTCCTGACCTGCAAACAGATTTCACAGGAGGCAGGTCAGGTGGTCTGGTATTCTCACCTCTTGAAGAATTTTCCAGTTTGTTGTGATCCACATAGTCAAAGGCTTTAGCATAGTCAATGAAGCAGAAGTATATGTTCTTTTGGAATTCTCTTGCTTTTTCTATGTTCCAGTGAATGTTGGCAACTTGATCTCTGGTTCTCCTGCCTTTTCTAAATCCAGGTTGAACATCTGGAAGTTCTCGGTTCATGTGCTGTTGAAGCCTAGCTTGGAGGATTTTGAGCATTACTTTGCTAATGTGTGAGATGCGTGCAATTGTGCAGTAGTTTGAACATTCTTTGGCATTGCCTTTCTTCGGGATTGGAATGAAAACTGACCTTTTCCAGTCCTGTGATCACTACTGAGTTTTCCAAATTTGCTGGCATATTGAGTGCAGCACTTTAACAACATCCTCTTTTAGAATTTGAAATAGCTCAACTGGAATTCTATCACCTCTACTAGCTTTGTTCTTGGTGATGCTTCCTAAGGCCCACTTAACTTCGCACTCCAGCTATTTTTAAGCTTGATTATAACTAAGCTTAAAAATAGATTCTCAGTGAATCTGTTGAATCCCCTGTCTATTTAGGGGGACCTAGGAGTAGATTTGAGAAGACAGTTAAATGTTAGTACACCTAGTTTGTTAGATAGCCTAACATTTGTCTCATCTTGCTCTCAGAGTTTGATTTTTGGTAGCATCGTTGCATTTCAGCAACTTTCTGAAAGGAGGTGCCCACTACAGACTGAATAAATGTATGCTGTGTACACAAGGCAGGGAGATAGTAAGTTAAATGCAACTCAGTCTCTTTGGGAGTTGGAGGAAAAGAGTAAGAGTGGGAAGACATATAGGGCATGTTATTTGCAAGATTAATAAACTATTTAATATGAAACAGAAATATTAAGCCTGTTGACCACGGTCAAACTAGAATGTAGTAAGCTGAAATTTTAGGTCAGTTTGACTTGGCTTTAGGACCAGTTTTCTTTCTACTGAATTTTCCCCAGTTTTCAGCCTAGCAATTTATTTAAATTCTCTGATTTAAGATAGTTTATTCCACTGCTTTTATTAATTACAAAGCATGTTTTGATGCTTTTGAGGGCTTGTAGATTGTAGATATATACTAGAGCGATAGAAAGTTATTGGAGTCTGCTGGATGTAAACTCATGGTTTACATGGTTTAGTCTGTGGTTACCACCATAGAGTATTTGGATTATTTAGAAATTACAGAAAATGGTATATTTAAGACTTTGAGGAAGACGTCCTATTTTTCTTTGAGAATTTGACAGTCTCTGTTAGAGAGGAAAAACTAGGATTGGCATAGCCAAAGAAGGCAGGGCCAGGACTCACAAGGAGATGTTAGAAGGAAGGGAGTCTTGGACCCAGTTTAAGAAAGGTGTTAGAATTAGAGCCACCCAGACAAATGCACTGATGTTGCTTGTGTTGTAATGAGTTCTCACTCCTGGAGGCTCTGTGACCATCTGCTCAGAAAGGGTGACTTTACCAGTTGGAAGTTTGTACCATGTGATCTCAGAGAGGGCCTTTAAAACTAGGTTTTTGTGTTTGCATTTCCCATCTCTGTGAGTATTTGAAAGTTTTGATGTTCTCCAGGTCTAACATAAGGCACTTCTGAGAATAGGAAGCCTGTATAAAGGAGCTAACAATCTTAACTTCCTTAAAGAATGATGTACTTTGCCTGTGATGATTATAAAAAGTGTTAAAGGAGAAGTTGTAGTTTTAGATTTCCCATATTATGCCAGAAGTGTTTTTCAATCACGTTGACTTTGTTTTCAAAATGTGGGGGTATTTTTCATTGTAGACTGTCCATATATTGATGTTTTATGCAAATTTAAGATCTCCTTTGGTTATCCAGTTTATTTCATGGAATAAAACTTTTTTTATTGGTTAAAGTGAAGTAAATGGATATTTTAAAAGCCTTTTGAAATTTTTTCCAGAATGAAAAAAAACTATCTTCAGGTGAAACTAAGATTTACATATAGCTGTTATATATCATTTCTGTATGATGAAATAAAATATTCCTGCTACAACTCTTCTTGTCTGGATTCAGATGAGATGTTAACACTTTGTTTGTCTTTGCAAACAGGTTCATCCTAAATTCCACAATAAACAAGGTGGCAGAGGTCGAGATGTTTAGATAACATCACTGACTCAATGGACATGAACTTGAGCAAACTCTGGGAGATAGTGGAGGACAGGGAAGCCTGGCATGCTGGAGTCCATGGGGTCACCTAGTTGGACATACTTAGTGACTGAACAAAGTGAAGTTAATAATTGAAGAGCATATTTGATATAAAAATCTCAATCAAAATGAAACTGCCTGCTTGCTGTTGGGTTCATGCTGAAGTTTATATGATATGACTACTATGGGTTCTGTACCTTTTAATGTTCTGTATCCCACCTGATTGGTATATTATATGTGCATATTCAGTCACTTCAGTTGTGTCTGACTCTTTGCAACCCAGTGGACTGTAACTTGCCAGGCTCTTGTGTCCAGAGGATTTCCCAGGCAGGAATACTGGAGTGGGTTGTCATTTCCTACTCCAGGAGATCTTCCTGACCCAGTGATCAAACCCATCACTGGCATGCAAGATTGAACCCATCTCTTGCATCTCCTGCTTTGGCAGGCAGATTCCTTAGCACTGCACCACCTGGTAAGCTGCTAACAGTAGCCAAGTCTCTGGGTCTCCTACCTGTCTTACTAGTCTTTTTTTTTTTTTCCATTTATTTTTATTAGTTGGAGGCTAATTACTTTACATCATTATACAGAGCGAAGTAAGCCAAAAAGATAAAGACCATTACAGTATACTAACACATATATATGGAATTTAGAAAGATGGTAACGATAACCCTATATGCAAAACAGAAAAAGAGACTCAGATGTANGATAACCCTATATGCAAAACAGAAAAAGAGACTCAGATGTATAGAACAGACTTGTGGACTCTGGGAGAAGGCGAGGGTGGGATGTTACTAGTCTTTTATAGTCCAGGAAAAATATTTCTTCTTGTTTCTTCTTCCTATATCTAGAGTTACATTATTACAATCATTGATCTCATATAGAACTGCGTATCTGACTAAATGCTTCAAGTCGCTTAATCATCGTTATTTTTGCCACAGGCCCAGTCACACATTTGGTGATACAAGAAATAACAGTTTTGTAAAAGAGACAATATATAAATAATATAGTTAGCAGTATTAGTAAGGTCATAAGTAAGAATTTAAGTCAAGAACTTCCATTAGGTACAGGTACTTAAGGTACTTAATTCTCTGTGCTTAGTTTTCTAAACTGTAAAATGAAGGTAATCTTGTAGAGTAATTGAGAACACCATAGGCAAAAGATAGTGAAGGATATAGTGCCTAAGATATAGTAAGCATTGAGTAAAGTTAGCTGTCATCATTATCCACAGCCTTATCCTACATGTGATCCTACATGTGCACTAAAGATGCTTCAAGACTTAACAACCGTGTGCATGGTGCTTGACATATACTAGGAATACGATGATATTTTTTGAGTTAATAATATATTCATTAGTAATTTTTATTTATATTTATTCATTCAGATAACTATAGGAAATGGTCCCTAAAACTTTATAAGTATAAGAAGAAGAACTCAGTGTGGGGCTAATCTTGTGTTGCTCAGAGCTTACTGAGGCAGTCTGAAAAATACCTCCTACTAGAACTTTAACCTTGTCTCTTCCTTTCTCTTATTAAAGCAAATGGATGTTTTAAAAGCCCTTTGAATTTTTCCAGAATTAAAAAAAAACCTATATTCAGATGAAATTATAGCTATTATGTATCATTTTCTGGATGATAAAATAAAATATTCTTGCCACAAAACTGTTCTGATTGGGATTCAGATGAGAAGTTAGCACTTTGCTTGTCTTTGCAAACAGGTTCATCCGAAATTCCACTATAAACAAGCTCATGACCCAGGCACAGATACTTCTTGCGTGACTTTTTCCTATGATGGTACTGTCCTTGCTTCTCGTGGAGGTAGGTTAAAAGCTTTCTTCTTGATGCGTTTCTATATATAAAATGATCATATTTAGCGCTAACAAAGATCACACTAATATCTTAGCACTTAGTAAAGCTAGCTGTGCTTTTGTTAATGGCCTTTGCCAGTCTAGTTTTTTTCATTACAATGCATTTTCAGCATGTCAATATTATTTTATTGGAAATTGCCAGGTAAAATTTAGAAAATATGTACTTTCTTGCCCAAGTTTCAATTTTACCTCCAAATTTCATCAGTATTTGGAACCTCCAAGGATGACCTCTGACATTATGGAATTTTGTAGATGATATTCTATATTCTTTCTATATTATTTTATAGTTCTGGGTCTGATATTTCAAACTCTTCTATTTACCGACCATTGATTTTTTTTCAGTTTAAACACTAACTCAATTTAGTTAATAAAAGTTGTATATCTGGATGTTATTTTTTAAATAGTTATGTAGTCCACTGTGATCGTATTGTATTGACAAGTTTACTTATCCACACTTATATGGTTGAATGTAGGTTGTTTCTAACTTTTTGCTAAATCTTTCTCAAATGAATAAGTGGTATACAAGGAAATAAGAAAATAGTAAAGATAGCTTATGAACAAAGTGTTAGGGGGAAGTGTGGGGTGTGCCTGAGACTCTTCTAGTAGGCCTATTTTTGGGGAGAGGAGAGAATCAGGCTTCAGTAGGTTGGAGCCATGTTATAGATGACCTTAAATATCACATGAAGGATTTAGTCTTTATTCCGTAGACCAAATGAATCTAGCAATGTTATATTTATTCTCTCACATAGTTTATTCACATCTTTCATTTTCATATAACTTCTGTATGTTGAATCACCACTCTGAGCTAAGCATTATACTAGGTGCTTGGTATAAACTGTGGACCTCACAACAGAGTTCCTTTCCTGAAAGAAGAAAAGACCCTGATCCTGGGAAAGATTGAAGGCGGGAGGAGAAGGGGACGACAGAGGATGAGATGGTTGGATGGCATCACTGACTCGATGGACCTGAGTCTGAGTAAACTCTGGGGGTTGGTGATGGACAGGGAGGCCTGGCATGCTGCTGTCCATGGGGTTGCAAAGGTTTGGACATGACTGAGCGACTGAACTGAACTGATAGGGTTTAGTGAAAGCAAGGAAGACAGACATAGCATGGCTTTCCACTTAGTTTAACTGGTCCATGTTCCTTTACCCTTGGGGAGTCCATTCCAATTCTTTCTTCCCAGGAAGCCTTATATATTTTACCCTCATGTAATATTAAAAATCAGAGCACATGTACATGTATTTTCTATTTATGGTATACATGGCAAAATGGATATGCATAAAAATATATATATTTTGGTTTGGCAGTTCTAACCTATTTTTTGTTTTGTTTTATTTTTACTTTGTATTGGAATATAACCAATTAGCAATGTTGTCATAGTTTCAGGTGGATAACAAGGGGACTCAACCATACATATACATATATCCATTTCCCCCCAAACTCCCCTCCCATCCAGGCTGCCACATAACATTCAGCAGAGTTCCCTGTGCTATACAGTAGGATCTTGTTGTCTAACCTGCTATCTGATTCCTCAGATGACTCTTAATTAATACTATATACTCTATTCTTTGTGGGTTTCCCAGGTGGCATTAGTGGTCAAGAACCCACCTGCCAGTGCAGGAGTCATAAGTGACGCAGGTTCAATCCCTGGGTCAGGAAGATCCCCTGGAGGAGGGCATGGCAACCCTCCAGTATAGGCAAGTATAGGCAATACACTCCAGTATTCTTGCCTAGAGAATTCCATGGATAGGAAGCCTGGGGGACTGTGGTCCATAGGGTCACAAAGAGTCGGACGCGACTGAAGTAGCTTAGCACACATGCACGTGCTATATTCTTTACTTACAAGCAGTGATTTTTAGCCCAAGAGTATATCTGAATCTCCAGGAAGGTTTTTAAAATGGTAAGTGCACTACTTGAAAATTCTCACAGTAACTCATTCTTCCATCTCTAGAGGGGTACATCCAAATCTCCCGGGTAGAGTGGGGAGAGGCAAGGGGAATAAGAGAGGAGCATACTTTAAAAATACTTCCTGTAGAGTTTGAAATAGGTCAGCCCTACTCAGTTGGCTATTACTGCCTTATAAGTATGAGATTAATTCCATTTCAGTCAAAGACATTTTAGTGATAATCTTTCCTTTCCCCTTCCACCCTATACTAGCTATTGGGTAACATGTCATCAGCAGAACATATCTGCTGTAGTCCATCATTTTCTTTCCTGGATGTATAGAATATGCCAGATGGACGTTTCTCTGTTCAGCAGAGTCCCCAGGGTGTTGTGAGGTGCTCCTGCTAGCTGCAGAACCTGCCAGGCTAGCTAAACTGTTTAATACAGATTAATGTTTTCTGTTTATTTGAGGATTGTGAGGATGGATAACCTTTTTCAAAGAGGCTGAAAGCAAAAACATGGATGTTACCAATTTCTTCCAGTATAAGCAGGTTGTGCTTATCTAGCCAGTTGTGGATTAGTGCACCTGCCAAAAGTTGGATTTCAGGCAGGATCGAAGGAGAAAGAATGAGGATTTTTATTGACCTCTCCTCTCACCTCACTTGCATCTGATACTGATTCCTTATTGGACCCCAGGGATTGAGGCAGGTCTCAGCTGTGGACACTGGGGAGCAAGAACAGCAAAGGTATTACCTATAAGAGTTCTGGCTTTCATTATGGACAGGAATTAGTTAGTAGCCTTATAGAAATATTTCAAAAGTGATTCTTTAAAGAATATTCATTATACTTTAAATGGCTTGGAAAAGCTGTACTCCCCAGCAAAGTGAAGAATGAGAGGCACAGATTGAGTTACCCTGCAGGGAATGGAATCACATGGCTCACCCTCATTAATGTTAATGGATAGTTTCACCCACACACAAGTGGGAAAAAGAATCTGTTGTGAATTGCACTATTTTCAGTCCTGATGGTTGTTAAATTAATATCTTCTTAAGAAGTCAAGTTTTGCACAAATACACCACAGGGAAACTACCATCTGCTTCACAGACAGTCACTCTTTAGAGAAGATTCTCCAGGGTTCCTCCTAGCCTACAGATGCTACATCAATCTGGAAAGTAATTTCTAGGAGGCTAGTTCATTATCCTGTACCTTTCTACTGTTCTCACAGCTCCTGCTCTCAGGCTCCCCAGTTAAACAGTAAAACATGTTATATGCATCCCCTTCCTTCCTCCTTCCCTCCTGCCTCTTTCCTTTCTCTCTCCCTCCCTCCCTCCCTCCCCTCCTCTCACCTGTCCTATGCTTAAGGTTATATACTAAGTTTAGCAAATTCTAAACATGGAACTTGTTCTTTTTTGGGGGGAAAAATTTATTTTCTGTCTTTTTTTTTTCTTCTCATTCCTCTATCAGGTGATGATACATTAAAATTATGGGACATCCGACAGTTTAATAAGCCACTCTTTTCTGCCTCGGGTCTTCCCACAATGTTCCCAATGTAAGTAGCATCTTTTTAATATTTGATAAGCACAGGAGAATTGTAAAGTAACTTCTTCATCTTCATGTCAACTTATAGTATATGTCTTAGATCAACTAGAAAAGGGACTAGAGAGTGATTGAAATAGGTTTTTTGAAAGATGCATTGTATTTTTCCTTTCATTTTGTACATTCTTCAGAATTTAAGATTTTATTTTTGAAGTTGAAATGATGTATGTTCATGTGTTTGTGTGTGAATATATACATTGTATGCACACATAGGGTCTTGGGATAGTGAAAACATTTTCAAGGATTGTTCTTTTAATAGATGACAGAGTAGGCCTACCTTTATTTTAAAATTTGAGTCCTCATAACATTAAACATTCAAAAAACTAAAATCATGGCATCTGATCCCATCACTTCATGGCAAATAGATGGGGAAAAAGTGGAAATAGTAACAGGTTTTATTTTCTTGGGCTCCAAAATCACTGCAGACAGTGCCTGCAGCCATGAAATTAAGAGTTGCTTGCTCCTTGGAAGAAAAACTATGACAGACCTAGACAGCATAATAAAAAGCAGAGACATCCTTTTTCTGACAAAGGTCCACCTAGTCAAAGCTGTAGTTTTTCCACTAGTCATATATGGATGTGAGAGTTGGACCATAAAGAAGGCTGAGCACCAAAGAATTGATGCTTTTTCTCTGTGGTGCTGGAGAGTACTCTTGAGAGTCCCTTGGACTGCAAGGAGATCAAGCCAGTCAATCCTAAAGAAAATCAACCCTGAGTATTCATTAGAAAGACTGATGCTGAAGATGAAGCTCCAGTATTTCGGCCACCTGATGTGAAGAGCTGATTCATTGGAAAAGACCCTGATGCTGGGAAAGATTGAGGGCAAGAGGAGAAGTGGGTAACAGAGGACGAGATGGTTGGATGGCATCACCAACTCGATGGACATGAGTCTGAGCAAGCTCTGGGAGATAGTGAAGGACAGAGAAGCCTAGCGTGCTGCAGGCCATGGGATCAAACAACCAGACATGACTTAGTGACTGAACAACAACAACCATAAAAGCAATTTTTCATAGTTACTGAACCTTTATGTATTATTTCTTCAATTTTTTCTTATCATCATTCCAATCAATAATTTGGTAACCTTCACTTATTCAGACTGTCTTGCTCTGGGTAGGTGAACACTGTAATCTCTGTTCTGCTAACTGAAGCTTTAAAGATTTTTCTGTGAGCAGCTGAGGTTGGGATTTGATGTCTAAGTCCCACAGTTGGTGCCTAAGCAAAATTTTCTATTTTGGTTGAAATAAAATTTCACATCTGTATTAAATGATGACCAGGAAGGAGAGCACAATGGTAATGGAAGCAGCAAATGGAGGAAGCTGTATAATATCAGAGCACTAACTCCAGCATGGCCTGTGGCCCATGGTGTTTATCTGTTAAACAGATGGACAAACAAATGTGAATTTATAGCCAATATGAATGTTTTGAGCCGAGTGCCTGCTACAAGTAATGCTAACTACATAATGTCTTTGGCTCATGTCTTAGGTTATTCACAGTCAGCCGGACCTCTCATCCTCAAGAGCCGTTGAATCATAGCCATCAGTTAGGTTCCAGCAGTGCAGGCTGCTCCTCATTGCTCGGTGCTTAACTTGACAAAACTCAAATTATCTGAGAGGTAGTGCTGATGAAAATAGTTCTCAAACTGGTCAAAATCATTACCACTTAGACATTAGTCATACACTGTCTATTTGTGTAGACAGGATCTATGTCAATATTGAGTTTTTTCTCACACTCTATTTACAATAAAAGATATTATAATATTTAGAAATTAGAGCACAGATTCTGGAGTCAGACTAAATTCGAACCCCGGCTGCACCACTTATTTTTGTGATCTTGGACAAGATTCGTTTAACTTCTTTCCGCCTCAGTTTCCTCTTCAGTAAATGGGGATTTTAATGTAAGTGCCTGATGTATTATAAACCCTGTGTAAGAGTTGTCTCTTGTTACAGTGATGTTGTTTATGTTTTATTTAACTCACTCATTACTGCTCCTTTGTTGTGGGATCAGAAGCCTAACCTTATAAACTCGTGTTGTCTGCAGGACTGACTGCTGTTTCAGTCCAGATGATAAACTCGTAGTCACTGGGACATCTGTTCAAAGAGGATGTGGCAGCGGCAAACTTGTTTTCTTTGAGCGCAGGACTTTCCAAAGGGTGTATGAAATAGACATCACAGATGCGGTATGTACTTTCTTTCCTCCCAGCCTTGAGAAGAAAGTGAAGCTTGCCTCTTAGCCATCTTTGGTTTTGGTTTTGAAGCAGAACATAAGCTCTTGCCCTTACAGTGCAGTGGTAGCTGCTTTTTTACCTCCAACACAGAAATTATTAGTAAGTACATTGCAGAGTGGCTTGCCTACACTTGCCCCTCTCCTGACCCAGTATTTCCTATGGGCACACACCATAGTCAGAATTTCAGCTGGGCCTGGGGTGTTTACCTTCTCTGCCAACCAGTTTCAGGAGAGGAGAGGCAGATCATCATGTAGCATGCAGAAAGAAGCTTCCCACAGTGTGCGTGTTTGTAAGGATTCAGGGGTTATGGACAGAGTGAAAAGTTATACCCTCAGAATGTGATGAAGCGTATCATTATTTGAAATCTCTGGCAGAATTTTCCTTGTCAGAGTTGTCATTGAGGTAAGGTGTGGCTTCCACTGAGTTTAATTTCTGTTTAGTTATTGGAAGTTTAAAGCATTTCAGATTTAACTCCCAAATCCCCACCCCCTTAAGTTTTTTTTTACCTATGTATGTAAGTAGTAAAACACCAGCATGTGAGCATGCAGGCATTCATTCATTCATTGATATCTAGAGACTGGAGCCGTATGTAATACAATAATAGTGAAGATTCCCAGAGGAAAATCTGAGCTCCTTTAAAGTCTTTTAAAGTATGTATTATTATTTAGATGGGAAGGCAAATCATTGTTATATTTTGAGTACAAAACAGGCCAATTAACGTCTATGCAGATTTTCTTTGGCTAACTGTCAGATCCTTTTGTAATATCCTTTGTCTTAAGCATTGCTCTTCTGTAGGTTTCTCCTGTTGTTTGAGCTCGTTGTAAACAGTTGAGACATACCATGTACTTACATGATTCGGACCATTGGACCACTGTTTTTAAATTACCAGCAAAAAGTTCCTGTCTCTACTATTCTAGTATTACTATGGAGTCTTAAATTGTAGGCCCTAAATTTGAAACCATAGTGTAGTTAGTTAGAGACAGTGAACTGATGATGAGACTAATTCTAGATGAGTGCCTAAGTTTTATAGATTCTAATCTCATGAAATAATTTGAAATGTGCCAGCACAAAATAATACTTTGTTGGGGTGCATCCAGAAGCCAGCTGAAACACTGGAATCAAAGAAAAGCACTCTTTTTTAAAATTTTTATTTATTTATTTTCATTGGAGGCTAATTACTTTACAATATCATAGTTGTTTTTGCCATACATTGACATGAATCAGCCATGGGTGTACATGTGGCCCATCCTGAACCCCCTCCCACCTCTCTCCCCATCCCCTCCTTCAGGGTCATCCCAGTGTACTGGCCCTGAGTGCCTTGTCTCATGCATCAAACCTGGACTTACATTAAGTCTTAACTTAATTAAGTCTTCAACTTTAATCTCAAAAAATTAAATTATTATGATTGGTCACTCCAGAAGTAAGATGTTTATTTTTTTAATGGCTGCTGATGACTGTGCCTCTCAATATTATTCATGGGGTTATATTTTTAAAATAAAATTGAAATGTAAATAAATTAAGGGATATAGAAGTATGATTGTTTTAAAAGACATGTGGATTGGATGTCTTAAGTGTACAGATCATTCTGTTTGTTGTGTTGCTCTGAACTGCTTTTCTAGCTAGATCTCTTTCTCCATAGCACTTACCACACTTCACCTATTATATATTTGTTTTTTATCTGTCTACTTCCACTAGGACGTAAGCCCATGAGGGCAGAAACTTTGTTTTGTTCACTGCAATACCCCCAGTGCTTAGAACAGTGCCTAGCACATAGATGGCGCTTGTTTATTGAATGAATGAATGGTATACTTGAAAAGTGTGAGTAATAGATGTTGTAGAGCACAGGTGTGTCTGAGGAGTAAGGCAGGAGAGGAGTATCTGGAGATGGAAAGGTAAACTGACCTTGTATACCATGATACGGAAAAGGCAATGGCACCCCACTCCAGTACTCTTTTGCCTGGAAAATCCCATGGACAGAGCAGCCTGGTAGGCTTCTGTCCTTTCGCTAAGAGTCGGACACGACTGAGCGACTTCACTTTCACTTTTCACTTTCACAGATTGGAGAAGGAAATGGCAACCCACTCCAATGTTCTTACCTGGAGAGTCCCAGGGACGGGGGAGCCTGGTGGGCTGCCGTCTGTGGGGTCACGCAGAGTCAGACACGACTGAAGTGACTTAGCAGCAGCAGCAGCATACCATGATAAGAAAATGACTTTATCTTATGGCCTTTTTTTTTTTTTTAAAAGCAAAGGAATAACACATTCAGAACCAGGTTTTAGAAGTTAATTTTTATTGAAGTGTGACGGTGAGATTTCCAAGATATAGTATTTATTTGTATATGTATAATTTAGGAGACTGGATCAATGTTCCCTATGATTTAAAAAAAGGTTTTAGAAGAAAGACACTGAGTCTGTCGGTGGTATGTTGAATTTAAAGTACCTTTAGGATGTCTGGGTGGAGACGTTCAGTAGACAGATGAGTAGATAACTTTGGTGCTTTAGAAGAAAAAAAGCACAGTTTTGGGGAGAAGTATTTATGGTTCACAGTTGAAATGTTGGTTGATGATTAGTTTGATCACAGAAAAGGGCATAAAGTTTAGAGGAGATGAGCCCTGGGAAACCAGAGTGTTTCAGGGATGAGCAAGTGAAAAAAAACAAACAGAAGAGTGAGTTCATTAAGGAAATAGAATTTACCATATACTGAATTATCTTCAGAAAGTCAGGTAAAAGATTTTGAGATCCATTTTAATAGATGGATGAAAAGAGAGCTTCAAATAGGGACAAAACCGTACACATTAAAGTGGCCTTTTAAATTACTGATTTAGGATTTGTCTGGGTTTTTTTTTTTGGTTGTTAACATCAGACAGCATTGTTTTCTGTTTATATTGTAAAATGGTCCCCTAAAGGGACTTTAAACTGCCCCTTTGATTTTTTTTCTCAAGTTTTAAATCTTCTTGGAATGTAAGAAGATTAACAAATTCGTTCTTTGGGATGGATAAAGAGGCTGGACACTTTGCTAGAGGGGCCAAAACCCACCTCTTTTATTTAATTGTATTTTTGTCATTAAAAACCAGGTATGGATACCATGATGTTGAGGGGGTGGAATGAATTGGGAAATTAAGATTGACATGTAACACTCAGTTCATTTCAGTTCAGTTGCTCAGTCGTGTCCGACTCTTTGCGACCCCATGAATTGCAGCACGCCAGGCCTCCCTGTCCATCACCAACTCGCGGAGTTTACATGGTGTTTATGGCATTCCTGGGTGTCATTCATTTAATCTTCTCTATGATGATCAAAGGGAGTGCTAAAACTACTAGCGCCATTGAAAAGATGGGGAAATAGAGGCACACAGAAATTAATAAATGACTTACCAAAGGTATACACAGGTGTTTAAATCCTGCCTGGAGTGCTGGCTTCAGAGTCCCCACAAATTCAATTTGAGGCTGAAATTCAGACAGAGTGACTTTTAACCACTACAGTATCTCTNAGGTTTCTCAAGAGGCAGGTCAGGTGGTCTGGTATTCCCATCTCTTTCAGAATTTTCCACAGTTTATTGTGATCCACACAGTCAAAGGCTTTGGCATAGTCAATAAAGCAGAAATAGATGTTTTTCTGGAATTCTCTTGCTTTTTGGATGTAACACTACCATGTATAAAATAGATAACTAATGGCAACCTGCTCTATAGCTTTAACTCTACTGAGTACTCTGTGGTGACTGAAATTGGAAGGAAATCCAAAAAAGAGAGTATATATGTATACAGATAGCTGATTCACTTTGCTGTACAGTAGAAACTAACATAACATTGTAAAGCAACTATATTCCAATAAATATTAATTTAATAAAATAAATAAAAACCTGGTCCTCAAATACCTATTGTAAGAAATGTCAGTGTAAGTATTAAGGAACAAAAACACCAGAATTGTCATTTCTTTGGAAATGCCACACACTGGTAAAATAAGGTCCTTAATTACTCTCTTGAGTTTTAATTTAGATAGAAGACAGCATTTCATATTCTTAACATCGGCATTTAGTTGTTTGCTTTTTTGACCTGGCACAGGCAGTGGTTGTGTTAGGTTTGTCCTGAAGCCGTTTACTTCAATGAAGTATGATTTTCTCACAATTTTTTAAAAAACTAAATAAATCCCTGCTACTAATTCACATGTCTGACTCTGTGCAACCCCACAGACAGCAGCCCACCAGGCTCTGGTCCTGGGGATTCTCCAGGCAAGAATACTGGAGCAGGTTGATATTTCCTTCTCCAGTGCGTGAAAGTGAAGTCAAGTCGCTCAGTTGTGTCCGACTCTCCGAAATCCCATGGACTGTAGCCTACCAGGCTCCACTGTCCATGGGATTTCCCAGGCAAGAGTACTGGAGCAGGTTGCCATTGCCTTCTCCGAAATAAATCCTTCGATAGTTACATGCTGGAATGCCAAGCTCACAACGTATATAGGGAACCAAACACTGTTTTCAGTTAGAGAATGTTAACAATCTGTATAATTAATTTCCTAATAACTAAAAACTGTCCTGTAATCTTCACAGTAAATATATTTAAAAAGAAAAACAATTATATTTTCCATATTTATTTTTGAAACAAATTTGTTTTTTTTTTTTCCATTTATTTTTATTAGTTGGAGGCCAATTACTTTACAACATTGCAGTGGTTTTTGTCATACATTGAAATGAATTAGCCATGGATTTACATGTATTCCCCATCCCGGTCCCCCCT